ACCAACAAATACTCAAATATCCAAATAAGGCTGAAAGATCCCAGAACCCGCATTCAGGCGAGCATGATGGTGGCGCCCAAGTCCAGATGTAGAAACGCCTGTCATGACAGGGACGGGTCGGCTTCCCAACGCAGGCATCAGTTAACTGCTTTATATACATCGTCTCCTTTGAGCCTCTCAGTGGGCTGTGGGGTAGGTACTATGGTTACTGCCACTTAAAGATGGGGAAACTGAGGCAAAGCAAGGGTAGGTGGCTTGTCCTGGGCCACCCGGCTGGAAGCGGTGGGGCCAGGATTTGAACTGGGCACTGGCCGGAGCCAAAGTCTACAGCTTCCTCCATTGTGCCTCACACTGCATCTCAGAAGAAAAAGGAGCCCATGAACAGGTCAGAGTAGGTGCACCCCAACTCCAGTGGCACCCCTCAAGTCTGAACCCCAGCAGGGTGCAGGGTTGGGCCTCTTGTGAAACCCTGTGGGTGGGATGGAGGGAGCTGGGGAGCACCTGACCCACAGATGACAGGGCTCCAGTAGATAAGGAGAGCTGGAACTTAGGTCTGGGATGGGGGGGAACGGAGCCGAGCAGCCCCTGAGATGGGATGGGACCCGGGCTCCGGAACCACAGGTTGGGCCTCAGACTGAGATGGGGAACTCTCAGGGGAGCAGGCTCTGTGGCAGGGGTGAGGTTGTGACTTCAGCCTTGAACTTGGGACACAGTGGAAAGTACTCATGACAATTTATTGTGCACCTACTGTGAGCCCAACACTGCTGGACGCTTTCCAGAGGAAGACACTGTGGTCAGAGTGGTTGCCCAGGGTTCCTGAGAGCAAGTGGGACGGAAACCAGGTCTGTGAGACTGAGCCCCTGCCCTCTTGGCACTGTGTTCCTCTTGTGATGATGTCACCTGGGCACTGAGAGCACTTTCCTGTAGGATGTAGTTCAGAACACTAGGACCTAGTGAGTAGCCTTTTATCACCCTCAGACCCGGCTGCTGTCTGCTTTTGTTCTGCACTGCCACTGTGTGAAAGATGACATAGGGAAGACTGGGTGGTCAGATCATCCCTCAGGAAAAGTGAGGAGCTAGAAGCCACCTGACTTTTTAGAGGTTCTACAGTAAGAGTGAGAGGTAAACAGATGATGAGAGGTTTGTAACACCCATGAAGTGAGGGGAATTTTGGTTCAGTACAGTATCACAGAGGGACCACAGGCTCTTTCTCCTTATGATGGGGACTGAGGCATGGAGAAGGGATGTTAATACATCCATCCACTCATCCTAACATCCTCCACCATCAATTCATCTGTCTACCCATCCATCCATCTTCCATCATCCATCCTCTTCCTTCCATATACCCTCCACCATCCATCCATCCATCCATCCTATCCTTCCACCTACCCTCTACCCTCCATCCATACATTCATCTTCCTTCCATTAACACTCTGCCCTCCACCATCCATCCATCCATCCATCCATCCATTCATCCATCCATCCACTCACCCACCCACCCGTCTTCCATTCACCCAGCCATGTATTCATCCATCCATCTTCCTTCCTTCTATCCACCCTCTACCATCCATCCATCATTCCATCCAACCATCTTCCTTCCATCCATCTATTCATCCATCCATCTTCCTTCCATTAAAACTCTGCCCTGGCCGGGCGCAGTGGCTCAAGCCTGTAATCCCAGCACTTTGGGAGGCCGAGATGGGTGGATCACAAGGTCAGGAGATTGAGACCATCCTGGCTAACATGGTGAAACCCCGTCTCTACTAAAAAATACAAAAAAACTAGCCGGGCGAGGTGGCGGGCGCCAGTAGTCCCAGCTACTTGGGAGTCTGCGGCAGGAGAATGATGTAAACGCGGGAGGCGGAGCTTGCAGTGAGCCAAGATCCGGCCACTGCACTCCACTCTGGGCAACAGAGTGAGACTCCGTCTCAAAACAAAAACAAAAACAAACAAAAAAAAAAACAAAAAAAAAAACAACTCTACCCTCCACCATCCATCCACCTTCCTTCCATCCTTCCATCCACCCAGCCATCTATTCATATATCCATCTTCCTTCTATCCACCCTCCACCATCCATCCATCCACTCATCTTC